ACCCCAGAGCACGTCTGCTCTGTTTGACTTTGAAGTTAGTCTGCTGAATCCCTTTGCTGAGAATAGACTACTCAGACCTCTGATAAGAGGACTGGGAAAGGCTGCCTACCCTCCCTTGACTCGTTTTCTAAACCACGTACTTAGTAGCCCCTGCTTTTTAACTCAAACTCATTTGTCTCCACTTGTGATTGTTTAACCATTCCCATTAGAAAACCTGTATTCTCCAGAAAGAGAGGAGGAGGGGGAGTTGGAAAAAGAAGGAGACAAAGGAGAGATTGGGATTTAATTAAGGAACTGGTTCATGTGATTGCAGGGGGTGGCTAGTCCGAAATCTGCAGGGCGGACTGAAGGCTGGACATGCGTGCAAAGTTGATGTTGTGGGCCAAGTTAGAAGGCGGCAGCTCAGGCTGTTTTTCTCTAGCTTTCTGGGGGTGGAGTTCCTTCTCCTTTGTGAGGACTCAGTCTTTTGCTCTCAGACCTTCAACTGATTGCATGAGGGTTACTCACAGTAGGGAGGGTAATCAGCTTTACCAGGAATCTTTTAAGTTTTAATCACATCTTAAAAATATTTTGACAACATGTAGATTACTGTTTGATCTGATGATTGGGCGTGCTAGTTTAGCCAAACTGACACATCAAATTACTCGTCCACACCTGTCAATCATTTGTTTCAGCTGGAACTTCTGTGGTAGCCTCGTGGCATATATTGCAGCCTTCACTGTCTGCTACCTTCCAGGCCAACCCCTTTATTGTCAGAAGGGCTTTGAAGGAATGAAGTGTTATGAAGGAGTCTGATTGATTGTAGGCGAAACAAGTAATCTTTGTTGCATCAACAAATTGCTCTAGTGTTTCCCAAAATACAGTTATGATAAAATATAAAGCTCTGTGCAGTCTCATCCCTTGCCACGGCCAAACTATGTGCCCACTAACTGCCCACAAAGGCACGCTAAGTTCTTCAAATGTGTTTATAACTTTCCTATGTCTGTGGCTTTGCTGTGTGGAACAGAGTCAACACTAACACAAGGGTGCTTCAAAAAGTTTGTGGAAGAAAGAAGTTTTTGTGGAAAAATTTTAGAAATCCATGAATGATGTTTCCATTGTACACATTTTCCAAGAAGACTCCTTGCGTAAGGCCAACTATGATAAAACTACAGGAATAAAGAAGGGCTTTAGGAGAGCAAAAGTTGGTGTGAATACTTTGAGCTTTTGAAGAATGCAAAGTCTTCATTATCATGGGGAGAAAAGAGAGGGTGTTACAGATATTTATTATGGGCTGAACTACATTCCCTCCAAATTCTTATGCTGAACCTTACTATCTAATATCCAGGTGACTGGATATAGGTAATTAAGTTAAAATGGGGTCATTAAGGTGGGCCTTTTTGCCATATGTCTGGTATCCATGCAAGGACAGAAGATTTTGACACAGATCCACAGAAAATGTAAAGACACAGGGAGGAGACAGTCATCTACAAAGGAGACAGGACTCAGAAGGCTCAACCCCATCGACATCTTGATCTCAGATGTCCAGCCTGTGGCATTTGCTTATGGCAGCACTAGGAGACCAGTACTCATGGAGAGGGAAAGTATCTGGGGAGTAGAGAGAGTCAAAGCTTTGAGACAGCAAAGATGAACAGTGTGTTGTGCCTATGGATTACACAGTGAGGCTGCTACTACTGGGGTTGTAGCTAAGAGCTGGGCTGACTTCCAGAATGTGTTGAAATTGGCCTGCTCCTTGAATTAACTATCCTCTAATGGTGTGGAAAGAGGGCCTCTGGTATTTTGTTTGCTCTGAGAGTAGAGAGAATGCGGTTTCAAGGGAAGAGAGCTCCTCAGTACCAGGACAGAGCTTTGCTTTGTAAAGCTGGGGTTGCTATTAACTGTGAGGGCAGAACCTCTCCTGCCCTGGACTGCCAGGTCTCAGGTGGTTATTGGACATCCAGGTGTAGAATGAGTGACAGGTGGTAGAAGTTTCCCTGCCACTTTCAGCTTATGTTACTGTGTTAGACACGTAGGGGTCATAGCAATCTTCTAGTCTCCTTGGTAGCTTGGGTTGGCTGAAGTACCATTTCTCTCCTCTCCCTCTCCTCTCCCTCTCCTCTCCCTCTCCCTCTCCCTCTCCCTCTCCCTCTCCCTCTCCCTCTCCCTCTCCTCTGCTCTCCTCTCCTCTCCTCTCCTCCCCTCCCTTCCCCCCCTTCCCCTCCTCTCCTCCTTCCTTCCCCTCTCCTCCTTCCCTCACCTACCTTTATCCCTTCTTTCCTTCCTTTTATTTCTTGTAAAATGGCCCATTTTAAGAGCAGTTTTAGATATACAAAATTGTCGACACAGTACAGAAAATCTCCATGTATCCTACACTCAGTTTTCCCTGTTATTAATATGTTACATTAGCAGGCTATATTTGTTACAGTTACTAGACCAATAGCACCAAAATGCCATCTTTTGTTTCGATTCCATTAGTTTTTACCTAATGTCGTTCTGTTCCTGGATCTCACCTGTTGACACTATGTTATGCAGTTCTCACATCTCCCCTCTTGGCTGGGACATTTCTCTAGGTGTCCTTCTTTTTGATGACTTGGACCATTTTGAGGAATGCTGATTAGGAATTTCATAGAATGACTCCCAGTGAGATTTGTCTGATGTGTTTCGGTTGTCTGATGTGTTAGGTTGAAGTAGAGGCTACCAGGATGAAGAGCACAAAGGCCATTTTCAGGATAGATACATTGTATCAGTGGGACTCATTACATGGATGCAGGCCTTGACCAGTGCTAGCTGGGTCTCTCAACCCTGTAGTCATTATTTTTTGTCCCATTTCTGTACTCTGCTCTTGGAAATGAAGTCACTGTGTGCAGCACACACTTGAGTGGAGACCCTTAATGCTTTTAAACACAGAAGAGTATGAAGTGGTATTTTAAGAACAGGTGGGAGTGAGGATGTTGCTGAGTTGTAAGAAGGGGCAAAGACAAAGCTATACATTTTTATTTTTTAGTTTATTAATGTTTTGTTTCTGAAAAAGATGCTCTCTGCCCCAACGATGTTGCTATAAAAAATGTTGGTTTGAACTCTGTAATTTGTCCAATAAAAATACTTTTCAACCTTGGACCTAGACCTTCTTTGTTGTTTTAATTCAGACAATCAGTTCTTATCTATACCATTGTTGTTACAGCCAGAGAAGGCAATATTAAGACCAGTTTGTCTTTTATTAATAGTTGAGAAGTTGTAGAACATTGTTTTCTTAAAGGCAGCGCCTTGACAAGCACATTTCTTGGGTAGTTATAGTTCATGTGAGTCTTTCATAGCCTGACCAGCCTGGCTTTGAGTGTAGTGATTCTAGTATTAGTTGAGAACTTTATTACCTCCCTCTAGTGGTCAGTTTTATAATCTCAGATTGTACTTGGTTAAACTCAGCAGTGGAAAAATAAAATTTGTGGCAATCCTTGTGATAATTACTATTACTGCTAAAATAAACAGTGGTTGAATCTTAACTTTATCTCCCTGGATTATATGTATTTTTTTAAAGGAGGCAATGTTTTAAGCTTGAATATAATTACAACTTGATTAAAAGTTAGGAGATAGTTTATGAGAATTTTCCCTGGTTACTATTATACTAAGAACCTCAGTAGCCATTTGTTTTTTAACTGTAGAGCTGAATTTGGCTCCTTGCAAGTGTTTTATTAGTGCTGGAGGAGCAAGTGCATAATCCAGGTGAACCTGAAAGCTGCGAAGCTTTATGAGGTTAGGAAGGAGACCTCTGGAGATAAAATTTTATCTCCAAGTGCAGGAAATGGCCTTCTTATAGAGCTTTACATTGGCACTCAGCATTTTACCATGGCTTTAAAAAGCTGTAGCACTAGGGCAGGTGTTTAGCCTAGCAGTTAAGACATGGATTGAGAGACTGCTGGCCAGTATTGGAGTGCCTGGGCACGATACTCAGTTCTGGCTCCTGATTCCAGCTGCCTGCTAATGAAGACCGTGGGAGGCAGAAGGTGACTGACTGGGTCCCTGCCACCTACTTTGGAGACCTATTTTGGATTCCTGGCTCCCACCTTTGGCCCAGCGCAGCCTGGCCAATTTTGGGCATTCGTGGAGTGAACCAGTGAGTGGGAGTTCCCCTTTTTCACCTTGTCTCTCAAATAAATAAATAAAAGAAAAAAACTTTTTAAATGACTTAAGTAAAGTTATTTTTTAAAATATGGCATTTTAAAAAGTATGCTATCTATGGATATTCTGAGTGAGTTGAAATAATTGACCAGAATTTGTCACAGGCTTTGGTTGTATCCTCATGGAAATACTGGATGATGCAGGGTCTGGTTATGCAGATACTGATAATGTGAATTAGTGCTCGTGTTTGTGCTCAGACCTGGAGTGTTGTCCTGTTGAGTTGCAGAGAGGATGAGGTTTAAAGAGACACAAATCAGCGAAGGTGAGATCTGTGAGCACTCCTGGCTGTGCTCCCCCAGGTCAGGAGTGATACTGAACTTGAGAGGCAGCGATCCAGCAGCCCTTGTTTCTGTCCAGAGGCATGAAGGAAGGGATCCATACAGAGAAGGCACACAGGGGCAGGGTTTGGATTCTATTTGTGACAAAATTTTAAAAAAATTGAAAAAAATTAGTATAAGTGAATGAGAGAGATCTTCCATCTGCTGGTTCACTCCACAAATGGCTGTAATAATCCAGGCTGGGCTGTGTAGACATCAGGAGCCCAGAACACCATCTGGGTCTCTCATGTGCGTGGCAGGGGCCCAAACACATGAGCCATTATGTGATGCCTTCCCAGGATGCATTGGCAGGCAGCTGGATTGGAAATAGAGGAGCTGGAACCCAAGCTGGCACTCTAAGGTGGGAGACTGGTGTCTCAAGTGATGGCTTCACCTACTGTGCCACAACACCTGCCACTGTGACCCTCTTGTTGGGCGTGCTGACATAAACATAGCAAAGGAGGAAGCAGTTTTGCATTTCTGAAAAGCTCCTGACCTAATGGTATCTGTTCCTCCCTGCCCTGCCAGCTCCATCTGATCCACTGGAACTCCACCCTGTTTGGGAGCATTGACGAGGCCGTGGGGAAACCACATGGCATTGCCATCATCGCCTTGTTTGTCCAGGTGAGCGGCCGGCTGGGATCACTGTACCATCTGCGGGCTTATTGCTGATTGATTTTATAGGACTTCAGGGGTGAAATGTGCAGGGAAAACTGATCCTTCAAAAATAGAAATTGACAGAAACATGTAAAAATGGGAAACTCGAGCTTTGTCATTTGTGGAGGTTCAGCTGTGTTCACTGGTGGACAACAGTTCATGGATTTATTAGAAATTTTCTTCCGGGTCTTTGGGTAAATGATTCAGAAAGTGTGTCTGGAAGGTGGAGTTCATTTTATGTATGAAAAAGAACTGCAGAAAATGTTGTTAGACCCTGGCTGACGTCAAAATCTATGAAAAATCATTAATGTAATCATGTAGTGGATTACTTCAGCTTTTTGTTATGAGCGATTTTTCTTTTCTTTTTTTTTAACTTTTATTTAATGAATATAAATTTCCAAAGTACAGCTTATGGATTACAATGGCTTCCCCCCCATAATGTCCCTCCCACCCGCAACCCTCCCCTTTCCCACTCCCTCTCCCCTTCCATTCACATCATGATTCATTTTCGATTCTTTTTATATACAGAAGATCAGTTTAGCACACATTAAGTAAAGATTTTAACAGTTTGGTTATGAGCGATTTTTCACTCAGGGGTACTTTGAAGTGTCTTTTAGAAAACACAGATAAAATAAGATCGGCAATGACCATGGCAGAGGTAGATAATATGAAACATGGACTTGCACTCTGTAGTGAGCCAAAGGTATCTAAATTCAGCAAACATGAAGTCAGACCACATGCATTAAAAAGTAAAAATTTGATCTGGTTCCTAAGGTGTGTCTTTTTAATTTTGTCTTACTTGATGTCACAGAAGATTTAGGGGTAAAATTTAGCTCCTACTCCCTGCCTCCTGCCCTCCAATATTATGGAAGAGGAACCAAGCCTCAGAGAGGTCAGGTGTTTGTTTATGGTCACACAGTGATTTTTAAAAAAGATTTATTTATTTGAAAAGCAGAGTACAGAGAGGCAGAGAGAGAGAGAGAGAGAGGTTTTTCATCTGTTGGTTCACTCCCCAAGTGGGTCTCCCCTGTGGGTACACTTGGGCCATCTTTCACTGCTGTCCCAGGCCATAAGAGAGCTGGATCAGAAGGGGAGCAACTGGGACTCAAACTGCACCCATTTGGGATGCCAGCACTGCAGGTGGTGGCTTTACCCACTACGCCACAGTGCCAGCCCCTCACACAGTGGTTTTACCTGAGCAGTCAGGATTAGAAACCAGGTCTTCAACTATGTGGGATTCTGGGCTGCTTCTGGATAACTATAAATTAGAGCATGAATGTCAGCAAGGAGTCTTCAGTCATTTAGTTTCCCAAAGAGAGTTGGGTCACAGACTCTTATTTATTTATTTATTTATTTATTTATATTTATTTATATTTATTTATTTATTTTGGACAGAGTTAGACAGTGAGAGAGAGACAGAGAGAAAGATCTTCCTTCCATTGGTTCACCCCCCAAATGGCCGCTATGGCCGGTGCGCTGTGCCGATCCGAAGCCAGGAGCCAGATGCTTCTTCCTGGTCTCCCATGCGGGTGCAGGGCCCAAGGACTTGGGCCATCCTCCACTGCCTTCCTGGGCAACAGCAGAGAGCAGGACTGGAAGAGGAGCAACCGGGACAGAATCTGGCGCCCCAACCAGGACTAGAACCTGGGGTGCCGGCGCCGCAGGCAGAGGATTAGCCTAGTGAGCTGCGGCGCTGGCCAAACTCTTGAATTTAATGTTTTTGTGGCATAGATATCAAGAGTGTTATTAATTGCAATACATACAACTGAGATTATTTATGTGTCAATTTTTAGAGATTTTATTCATTTATTTGAAAGTGTTACAGAGAGAGGGAGAGAGAGAGAGCTTTCATCTGCTGGTTCACTCTCCAAGTGGCTGCAACAGCCAGCACAAAACTAGGCTAAAGCCAAGAGCTTCTTGATCTGCCCTATGGGTGACAGAGGTTGGATCACTTGGGCCATCCTCTGCTGCTTCTCTCAGGTGATTATCAGGGAGTTGGATCAGAAGTGGAGCAGCTAGGACATGAGTCGGTGCTTGTAGGGGATATGAGGAGCCAGTGTGGTGGCATAGTGGGTAAAACCTCTGCCAGCAATACCACCATCCCATTTCGGAGTGCGGGGTTTGAGTCCCAGATGTTCCACTTCCAATGTGGTACTCCTACTGACATGCCTTGGCAAGCAATGGAGGATGGCTCGAGTACTGGAGCACCTGCCTTCTAGGTGGGAGACCGGGATGGATTTCCAGGCTTTTGGTTTGGCCTGGGCCAACCCCGGCTCTTTTGTCCATTTGGGAATGAACCAGTGAATGGAAGATTCCTTTTCTCTATCTCTTTCCTGCCCTTCATCACTCTGCTTGACAAATAAATAAATACATAAAAAATTTTTTTTAATGTACAATAGTGTTGACTAAAGTATTCATCAGGAGCTAATTGAAAAAAATTGGTTATAAATTATTGTGTCTTGAGATTTTATATTTTGTGGGTAAAGAAAACACAAAATCTACAGATATAGATAAATTTTAAAAAGATAGAATTTTAAAAAGAGCAAATCCTTGTATTTTTAAAGTGAATCATCTCCTCTTTGTTTCATGGCTTTTTTCACAGTCAGGGGCCTATAATCCTTCCACTTTTTTTTTTTTTTAACTGTTTTATGTAAGTAGACTAGGATAACAAAATAGCCATGAAAAATGTTTTTAATTATACATTTTGATAATCTTTAATAAATTGAAGGAATATTATTAAAGACCACAATTTAACTTCAAAAAGTTAATGAAGCATTTAATTTGAGGTGATAAAGGGCAATATCTTCTTATTAAAACAATAAGAATAAGGGTGAATATTTGACCTGGTGGTTAGTATGCCACTTGGGGTGCCCATGTCTTTATCATAGGGCTTAGGCTTTAGTCTTGGCTATGGTCCTAATTCCAGTTTCCTGCTAATGCACACCCTGGGTGACTGCAGTTGATGGCTCAAGTAGTTGGGTCTTTGTCATGCACATTGGAAACCAGGGTTGAGCTCCAAGCTCTTGGCTTCAGACTTGTCCAGGTCTCGTTGTTGCATTCATTTGGGAAGTGAACTAGTGAGTGGATGTGTGAGCTCCTTCTGCCTCACTCAAAGAAATAAAATAATAAATAGAAAATAGTAAAATTAAGACAGCAAATAAACAAGTAGTCTTGTATAAAAGGGGAGGGAACGTACTAGCCTCATCTTTGGAGTTGAGACTCAATAAATGCTTGGGACTGGAACCAGATGTGATCACTCAGTACTTCCCCTAATTGCTTGCTCACAGACAGCAGGTGATGTGGGCTAATGGTGCCCTAGACTGAAATCCAGCCTCTTGGAACCAAAATCTGTGTTTCCTGGAATAAGCTGTGTTGCTGTAGGCCAAGGAAAGCCACAAGAGCATGAGTCTGGTGTGAAGAACATTTCAGGTCTAGGTGAAGACGACTGTCTCAGGAGAGAGTCAGTTTACAGAAAGTATAAGAGCAAAACATCACGAGGGAAGGAAGGGCTGATGACAAATGTGAGACATGCAGGGAGGAGAGGGCTGGAATCCACCCCAGGGTCTGGCAGTTGGTCAGGAGGAGTGGCAAACAGGAGGGGTGGAAGTCAGAGGCAGTGAGTGCGGACTTCTGTCCCTTGAAGCTTGACTGATGGAAGGAAGGACAGATGGGACAAACTCCAGTGGTGCCTTGCAACAAGTCCTTTAGAGCTCTGAGAGCTGCCTATATTTTCGTTAGTGCAGATATAGAATTAAAATGCACCAGACAGAAGAGGCATATTTGATGCAGAGAAGTCCTGGAGGAGACGGGAGGGCTTGGCATGAGAGCTTATGAGGGTGGATTAACCTTGGGTAGAAGGGGGCCCACCTTGCTCTGAAATAGAGGCTTAGGCAGAAAGATTGGGCTCCAGTGAGGCCAGCGTGTTGGTGGAAAAGGGCAGGAAATTAGGGAGACTCGTGCCTGATGGCTTCATGGTCTGAGACATGTAAGGTGCAGTTATTTACTGTGTAAGAGGCGGGTGGGTGTGGAGCTGGGTTCTGAAATAGCCCAGGAGGAGATCATAACAGGCTTGGCCATCCGTGCAGGAGACCCACTTGAGAGTGGGAATCCTGGATTGTAGAGACAGGGTATGATGAACTGTTCTCTCTCCAGGTAGAGGGGGAGAGATTTCTAGCAGATGACTTAGGAGGATAAAGGGTTTAAAGAGTCATGAGTGGTGGAAGAGATGTCATTCACCCTAGCCAGGAGAGTTCAGGAGGAAGCCAAGAGGGGCCCAGGAGCCTTGACTTCTTGTGAAGAATAGGAGGGAAGTGAGAAGAAGGTGGGAGAGAGCTGGATGGGTGAGACGGGGTAGCCGGAGAAAGATCTGCAAAGTTGAATGAAAGCAAAAGCAAGGAGTGTTTTTAGGATGGCTTTGTTGCGCTGGAATTGAACTGAGAGCTGTGGGCTCAAGGGAGGAGAGACTTAGGCCAGGGAGGGGCGGGTCTCCCACATGCTTGAAAAGCCCTCAGGGTGACAGCAGGAGTAAATGCTGGGGAGGGGCTGACCAGAAGGACCCGTGAGTGGCAAGGAGGGCATGGCATCATCAGAAGAAGATGGCCTTGTGTGTGTGGCTCAGAGAGTAGCAGGCTGAAGTTTAACAGCCCTGACTTCAGCTTTCAGTCCTGCTTCCCCTTCCCTCGGAGCTGCAGACCCAAGGGGGTTCCCATAGACCAGGAGGTGGTGGGAGAGCCTGTGAAAGACACAGAATGGTCCTGTCCCAGAGAGCAAGGCGGAAATCAGGCCAGAGTGAGCTAGCAGTGAAGGTGGGCCAGGGCCGGGATTCTGGGAGGAAGACTGCGAAGTTGAGAGGTAAGGAATGAATTGGTCTCACGATTCCCGGTTGTCTCCTGGCTCCAGGTTGTGTTGTTGCTTGAACTGCCGCAGGAGCAGTTGGGGGTGTGTGGAGACTATCACCTCTCCTTGTTTTGTGGTGGCTGTAACCTCTTCCTATAAAGATCTGGCCAGGAAGCAAAGGAGAGAGAGTATTAGGTGGAGTTCGTTGCAGGATATGAAGTGTTGCCCACAGAATAAAAATTTTTATAGCTAGGAGGCAGTAATAATTAAGTGCTACTTTATGTAGAAATCTATATTTGATGCTGTGTGATGTTTGATGAAGAGTGATAATGCATGCTGTTAATTGAATTGCAGTGTACCAGACCCAACTCTAAGTTCCTTGTGTGATTTAATCTTCAGCCCTGTCACTTTTGTCCTCCTCACTGCATAGGTAGCTATAGAAGGAAGGACTTAGAAGTTAAGTAAACTTGCCCAAGGTCACACAGCTAATAATTGGTGATGTCAGGATCAGAGCCCAAGCAGACCAATGCAAGGAGCTTGTTATGGTACCACTGTTATGTGGCCTTGCAGGGTTCAGATGTGGACTCTTCACAGTGTGCAGTCTGACAGGTGTGCACGCAAGGAGTCAGAGGCACAGGCATCCAATGCCGCATTGTGGTTCAGTGAGTAAGGTAAATAACCGTTCACTTCTGCTAAGCCTGGGTGAAGCCAAGGTGCAGCCTGTCTCAGATCCAGGCTCCTGGGTTCATGGGTGTTTATAGTGGTTTTTTTTTTTTTTAAACTTTTGAAAATTCACTTTCTGTTTTCAGAGCCTGTCTCAAAAATTCCAAGTACTAGGAAAATAATTGAAGTCAGGATTATTTTGAGCTGATGGGCCCAATTTAGGTTGTTTGTTTCTCTCTCTCTCTCTCTCTCACTCACTCTCTCTCTCATTTGAAAGAAAGAGTAAGCAGGAGAGAGAGAGAGAGAGAGAGAGAGAAAGAGAGAGAGAGAGAGAGGGTTTCCCCATCTACTTGTTCACTCCCCAAATGCCACAGTAGACCCCTCACTAGAACTAAAGCCAGGAACCCAGTTCAGATCTCCCACTTGGGTGGCAGGAATGCAGTCACTTGAGCCATCACTGCTACCTCCCAGAAAGCGAGACTCAGGAGCTGGAGTTGGGAACTGAACTGAGGTGTTCTGATATGGGATGCAGGCCTCTTAACCAGTGTTATAACCGCTAGGCCTAGCATCTGCCTCCTCTCTTCTTTTTGGTGCCAGTTCACTTAGCATGCTTCACATCTAGCTAGCACTGGGAGAAACAGAATCTGTATAGGTTGGCAGCTCCTCCAGCTTCTTATAGGTATTTCTCCAAAAATTTATGTGGAAAAAGGAAAGCAAACGCAAACTGTGATTGTTTATCTGAGGTCATAAATGTTCTCTGCTGTTCCTCTCCATCATCATCTTGGGCCACTGAAAGTTGGTGGAAAAAGTAGAAGTCAGATTGAACTTAGAACTTCTAAGGTTAAAAATGCTAATTGTTAAATGTGTTGATAAAGTCTTAAATTTCTTTGGTGCATTTTGTTTCAAATAGAAGGGTATGCAAAGCATATTCTTGCTTAAGAATAAAAAGTTGGGTATAGAATTACAAGTAGAGGTGATCAAATGTCCTGATTTTGGTAACTTTACATATCCATTTTTCTGAGTTAGTGAGATTTTTAAAACATTGTTTAAAATCTTTGTAACAGTATTCTGTAGATGCCAAAGGTAAAAATGCCGAAGGTAAAACAATTGAGCATGCCCAGAGCTTTATTTATTTATTTGGAACACAGAGTGAAGAGTGGCAGAGAGATAGAGGCTGGGAGGAAGAGGTGAGGGTGAGAGAGACAGAGAGAGAAAAAGAGGGCCTGAGATTCCCTCTGCTGGTTCACTCCCCACACGACCATGGCAGCCAGGGCTGGACCAGGCTGAAGCCAGGAGCCAGAAACTCTATCTGGGTCTCCTGCATGGGTGGCAGGGTCCCAAGCACTTAAGCCATCATCTGTGGCTCCCCAGGTGGATTAGCATGGACCTGGATGAGAAGTGGAGGAGCTGGAACTTGAACCAGCACTCCCATATGAGATGCAGGCATTGCACGCAGTGGCCTAACCTGCTACACCACAATGACTGTCCCGAGTATTGTTTTTTTTTTTTTTATTTATTTTTATTTTTTATTTTTTTGACAGGCAGAGTGGACAGTGAGAGAGAGAGACAGAGAGAAAGGTCTTCCCTTGCCGTTGGTTCACCCTCCAATGGCCGGCGCGGCCGGCGCGCTGCGGCCGGCACACTGCGCTGATCCAATGGCAGGAGCCAGGTACCTCTCCTGGTCTCCCATGGGGTGCAGAGCCCAAGCACTTGGGCCATCCTCCACTGCACTCCCGGGCCATAGCAGAGAGCTGGCCTGGAAGAGGGGCAATCGGGACAGAATCCGGCGCCCCAACTGGGACTAGAACCCGGTGTGCTGGTGCTGCAGGCGGAGGATTAGCCTAGTGAGCCACGGCACTGGCCCTGAGTAGTTTTAATTCAGAAATATTCTTTACGTTTATACTTAACAGTAACTTAAGATTTGATATCTACAGCCCAGTGAGTGGTATTCATGCACAGCAAGATGAATTTAGAATGGATTCTTGGGTGTTCCGTATCAAAGACTTGTATTGTGTTAACTGAACAGCTTTGTTCTTTTAGTAGATGCTGACCTGGTTCTAGTCATTTAATCCCTCTAGAGGGACAGACCCTCGATTCTGTTAGCTGCTTTGAGTAATGCCTGAGTGTTTAACAATGCTGTGGTTTCTGCTTTATGCATTTCAGATAGGGAAGGAGCACGTAGGCCTGAAGGCTGTGACCGAGATCCTTCAAGATATTCAGTATAAGGTGAGTTGTTATTTAAAAAACAATAGAAATACAGGTCATATTCAGGGTCCCCAAGACCATCCATAAGCTTGATAATTCACAGAAGGATTCACAGGTCTCAGAAAAGCTGCTTTACATAGAGTTTTTTTTTTTTTTAATTTATTTGAAAGGCAAAGTTACAGAGAGGCAGAGACAGAGAGACAGAGAAGTCTTCCATCTGCTTGCTCACTCCTGAAAGAGCCACAATGGCCGGAGATAGGCTGATCTGAAACCAGGAGCCAGGAGCTTTCTGTGGGACCCTCACACAGGTGCAGGGGCCCAAGGACCTGGTTTATCTCCTACTGCTTTTCCAGGGCATAGCAGAGAGCTGAATTGGAAGTGGAGCAGCTGGGACTTGCGAACTGGTGTCCACATGGGATGCTGGCACTACAGGTGGCGGCTTTACCCACTGTGCCACAGCGCCGGCCCATCTGTTTAGGGTTTATTACAGGGCAGGATTACTGACCCAAATCAGCAAAGGAAGAAGGCACATGGGGCAAAGTCTGGCAAAGAACAGGTGCAGATTTCCTTGAAGTTAACCAGGTAGTTGCCTTGGGATACCCTCTTTCCCCTAGCAATGGCCTGAAGTGTTCCACCCAGGGAAGCTCACCTAGATATTTTATTAGAGATCGGTCATGCAGGTGCAAAGTACCTGCATAACTGCCCTCAACTTCTTGAACTCTAGCAAATCACACCCCTTCCCCAGTTATCCACCATGAATCACACTATCAGAATGAACAAACCTGGTACAGAATGAAGGGCCACCATAAAACACACCAAATGCCGGAGTAAGGGAAAGGTTTATTGTCGGGGGTGGGGGAACCTGACAGGAGGGAGGGGGAGAGTGAGAAAAAAAGAGAGCCTATGCAGGAGTACAGGCCTGGTTATAGCCTTACAGAGATGAGGGAGTGAGAGCACTCAATCCTGTTAGAGTGGAGGTAGAGTTGACGCTTGTGGTTGGGTCATTTGGTCACCTGACTCTTAGTAAGCCAGGCTGGGTCCTGGAGAGGCTGAACTCAGTGTACAAGATGGCGACTGGGCCAGAGCGCAAGATGGCATCTGGGGCTTGAGATGGTGCCATTTCACTTACATTCCCCCCTTTTGTTTTGTATAAAGCAAGTGTTGTATGGGATTATATCTGCCCCAAAAGCTCAGGACCAGTGGAGGGATGATGATCTATCTTCTAGAGCTGCTTCCTGATGACATGGGGCAATGAGTTATTCTCTACTGGTGGGGTGACGTCTCAAGTTGTGATCTCCAGGGTGGGGAGCCAAGTATATCCCTGTAGCAGCATTTTTAGTTGACTGCCTGGTTGGTTCCATTATCACCTCTGATAAACACTTAAAGAGACAAAATAGTATAAAACCCAGACTGAGAATAGCAGCCAATGGTCCTTGGAGTGGCATTGACCAAGAGGTGATAGGGCTCCATAGGGAGGAAGAGAGGAGAGGCTCTCTGGACCCTAGGACAGACTGTATAATAGATGTGGCAATTTGTTGGAGCTTTTTAACATTTTGTTCTGCCTGGCCCAATTGATTAACATAATAGCAATATTATTCTTCCAGAAAAAAATCACAAATTTCAGCCATAAGGTCCAGAGCTCATCTGCCAGTGAGGAGATCTGATTTTAGAGGTCCCTAATAGCATCTGCCAAAGCTTCAGTGGATCTTGTGACCTCCTCTTGTAGTTGTTGGAGTTGTTCTTGGAATCAGTTAGTAGACATAACGTTGTGGCCTAGAGCAGTTCCTGAGACCACCACCGAAGAGAGGGAAGCTGCAAAGCTGGTTCCAACCAAGACTGGAAGAAAGATTGCTTGTCTCTTGTGGGTAGAGGGATTAATCTGTAAAAGGACCTGTGAGTACTCATATAATGTTAGATGGGGGGGATAGAATCACTAACACATGAACTGGATGTGGAGCTGTTGATACAGGTGTATAAGGTATAATTACAAAGAAATGAAGTTCTAGGTGGACTAGACAGGGAAGCTGTGGGAGTGCTGGTTATATTGCTGACGCAGGGAATGTTATGTGGCATAAACTTATTGGGTTGTTTTGTTATGTTAGTAATCCAACATGCTGCACCTTGTCCTCCTGAATGTAGAGGAAGATGACCAATGATTTTCTGAGGATTGAGAATAGAGGAGTTTATAGAAGCAGAAACATTAGTGAGTAGGGTTGTAGTAATGGGAGGTTCCCAAATGGGAGCACATATAAAGCATTGCTGTTGGTAAAGGACTTAGGATAAAGAATTGGGTAGTTGATAAAGTAGGGTGAGAGACATATTGATGAGTTGTAGCCACATCAACCCAATTACATGAGCAGACCTGAGCAAAATCAAAGCACGGAGTGATAGGGCCTGCACAGCCCATGATGGGGCAGAAGGTTGTGTTCAGTAATTTAGCAGGAGTAGAAATGGTGTAAATCTGAAATTGTCACATGTAACATGTTCTAGAGGCTAGTGTGGATGCAAAACAGACACAAAAGGGCAGAAGAAATGGGAGTATTGGGAAGTTCATCGTGGTGTGTGGAAGAGGCAATGAGACAATAAGAGAAGGTACAGCAAAGTGTAGATCTCAAAGGGAGTGGAGTCTGAGGAGGTTCCCTGGAGGTGTAAATCTTCAATATCTGAAAGGAGTCAGGAGGGGTGGATGGGCGGAGTGTGTTTGCTATTCTTCCCACAGAAGTTGTAGGAAGAGTTGATAGCGGTATGAGAGAAGATCAGTACTTATCCAGTGTTGGAAATGGTGGGTGGCTGGATGGTCACTGTTTCTTGGAGGTGAGTTCATTAAGCACAGAAGAGTCTGAGTTTGAGGAGCTTGAGTCCAGGTAAACTTGGCTGTGAGTCACCCTGTGGGAGTAACTGTATAATGGGGGAGGGGGATGCTTAAGGTGGGAGAAGTGGACCCAGTGGGGGTTCCCTGTAAGTTTGCTGCTGTGGGAGTAGTGAGAATCACCCGGTAAGGTCTGGTCCATTTAGCTTGTGGCTTAGTGGGAGGAGAAGACAAGGAGTGGCGTGAGGAGGACAGGTAGACCTCACCTCTCACTGTAACAGGACGGAGGCTGTCTGAGGTAGTTGGACCTGGAGCTGGGCAGTAGGTGTCTGTATATTTCCATAACTCTCTTCGAAGATATTTGAGGAGAGATGAGAGTAGCTGGGGCAGCAGGAGTGGAGATTGAGAGTGTGTAGCCGGAGGAACCAAGGGACGTCCATACATCAATTCAAAAGGCAGAATATTGAGAGGTTTTTTCAGAAAGGTCCTCATACAGAGCAGAGACAATGGGAGAAGTTTAGTCCAGGCCAAGTGAAGCTTGAGATAGAGCTTGGTCAGAGCATTTTTCAGTATATGATTTGTCCTTTCTACTTTTCCCTGGGGGTGATAAGGGGTATGAAAATGCCAGGGGATGTTAAATGCCTTGGTAAGTAGCTGAGTTATCTGGGATGTAAATTTGATACCACAGTCTGACTGGAGACCCCAAAGTGGGGAACAATCACCTGAAGTAGGCTGTTGGAAACTGTTAGTGCCCATTTGTTAGTAGTTGGAAAGACCTTGACCCACCCAGAGAAGGTATCTACCAGTACCAAGAGATATTGAAAGCACCGTACATTGGGCATATGGGTAAAGTCAATCTGCCAGTCAGAGGCTGGCAGGTGTCCTCTGGCTTGATGGGAAGGGAAGGGTGGGGGATAGAGGTTTGAGTCAGGATTTGTTTTTTCATGTATGGAACATGACAAGATGAGTTGTTGGAGATATTTGGTATCTTCTGGTATAAGTTTGTTTGACAAACGATAATAAAGAAGAAATGTTGGGATGAAACAAATGGTAGAGGTAGAATAAGATGGCTTGAGTGGAGAGCTGTTGGGATTGTTGGTTTGGAGGGTGGTTAATCAGCACAGAGGATGAAGTAGAGGGCGAGCTGGAGGAAAAGGAAGACAGTGCCGCCTGACGAGCCGCCTGATCTGTCCTGTTATTACCGGCTGTGATAAGAGTCGTCAGTCTGATGAGCCTCAGAGTGGACTAGTCTGATTTGTGTTGGAAGATGGGCTGCTTCTAAGAGAGGGGTTATGAATGTAGCATTGGAGATGGCTGTCCCCTTAGTGGTAAGAAGGCCCCTTCCTACATTGCTGTGTGGGATAGGAGGACATCTAAAGTGTATATTTTATGTCAGTATACACAGTGATGGTTTTATTTTTTGCCAGGATTTAAAGGCATGGGTTAGAGCATAAAGCTCAGCCTGTTGATTAGTAGTATTGAAAGGGAGTGGTCCTACCTTCACTGTATTGGTGGTTGATACCACAGTATACCCTGCCCTTTTTATTCCCTCATGAAAGATGGAGCTACCATTTGTGAAGCAGACTAGAGTAGGGTTAACAAGGGACCCTCCTGGATATTTGAGGGATGAGGTGGTAAGTGTTCGATATTCTCAATGCAGGAGTGAACAGGAGCCGAGTGATCAGGAGATGGAGGAGGAGAGGGAAGGAGAGTAGTTGGGTTAAGGGGAGGACAAGGTTTAAAAGTGAGGGTCCTGGGGCCGGCGCCATGGCTCACTTGGTTAATCCTCTGCCTGCGGTGCCAGCATCCAATGTGGGCAACAGGTTCTAGTCCAGGTTGCTTCTCTTCCAGTCCAGCTCTCTGCTGTGGCCCGGGAAGGCAGTGGAGGATGGCCAAGTGCTTGGGCCTCTGCACCTGCATGGGAGACCAGGAGGAAGCACGTGGCTCCTGGCTTCGGATCAGCACAGCGTGCCAGCTGTAGAGGCCACTTTGGGGGTGAACCAATGGAAGGAAGACCTTTCTCTCTGTCTCTGTCTCTCTCACTGTCTAACTCTGCCTGTCAAAAAAAAAAATAATAAAAAAAGTGAGGGTCCTCAATTAGCACCACCTGAAGGGTCAGAATGTGAGATAGTGGGAGAGACTGGAGGCCTTTGTAAGTTAGAAGTTCTGATAGATGATGTGAGGAAAGAATGATAAGTAGTGAACCCAAAAT